AGGTCATCTTAATCAGTTTTGATCAGTACTTGGTTTCATTGCATTGGTGGTTGTTGATTAAGCACTTCGAAACTATTAATTATGTCTTCTCAAAGACTCAAGAGTTATGGTTGTTTAGAGATAATAACTAAATGGAAATGGTTGGTCCGAAACTCTATTGATTTCAAATCTTAAGGACTAAAGTGAGGAGTTATATAAATCTTTAGGATCATTTTGGCTAAAAAATCTTATACAAGTGGACATTTGTATAATTAAAAAAAAAAAAAATCCTGAGTTTTCTCCACTTGTATAATAGCATATGACATACTGCTCCGATTCCGACCACATTAAAAAATCTCTAGCTTTGTTAGTGTTTTATCTCATCATGTTCATCAAAGCAAGCAACTTGCTTAATTACCTTATCATAGAGATTTGCTCTTGAAAAGCTAACAAACAGCAACAAAGTTGTACTTTTCCCACGCCGCAAGTTGTGTAAACTCATGTGTTACTTGCAAACCTACTGCATAGGAGATTTACTCCAGCAATTGACAATGTGCCCCCTCACGTACGTGATTGATTACTATTTCTTATAATATTGCATGACGATTGCATATATAGTTGATGACACAATAACAGACTTGTCGGAGTTCACTATAAAATGGGATTGCCAAATGACAATTTTGTCAAATAAAATTTAATCTTAATTTGTCGAAAGAGGTTATCAGTTGAAATTTCATATACGATAACGATTCAACAAAAAATAATAGAGAGTTGAAACTTAGGTTGAGTTTGGCCATTAATTAAATTTCATAGTTTTATTTTCCAATTTTATCTCTACTAAAAACTAAAAATAGTAACTTGTCTCTAGATTTATATCTACTTTCCTATCTTTACGAAAAAGGGTAATAGGAAAATGTATTTCCCATTAGACCTGACATTCGTGTCGTGTTTTTCGTGTTCGTGTCCTTTTCGTGTTATACCCGATAGCTTAACAGGTCGTGTCATGTAATACCCGTTAAAGTAAATGGGTAATATGACCCGATCCGAAATTAACCCGTTAATATTATCAGGTAATATGATCCGACCCGTTACTCGTTAAGAAAATTATATTTTAAATCAATAAAAATGAAAATGAAAAACATAGTTTGACCCAAAAAAATGTCAAACATAATACTAAATTAGTATATACATACTAAATTTCGGAGTTGACCCCTTAATGAAAGTTGTAAAGCTTTTCATTACGAGTGATTACATTTTTCACACTTCTACAATAATTATTATTAATTTTTCACTCAAATAAATAATATTGTTCATGAGATTTGGAGGGTTTTAAAAATCTAAACGACCATGTAACCTTGCCAATGGAACTCAAAGCTTAAATGTTATTCCTTTTACAAAATCCTCAATTTTCATAGATCATTATGACATAAGATTTTGTGGTATCCACTTCTGTAAATATTTTAAATTGATGATCAAATTAATTCATTGTATTCATATAGGATCAAAGAGTGTAGCTGTAAAAAATCATCAAAATCAGAGTTAAAATAATTGTTAAATCATGATTTTTGGTTTATAACCGTCAAAAGTTTTTTGCAATTTTTGGCGTATGCAATCTCGAAGCATATATAAACAAGTTTGACGGTTTGATCGTTGAAATGAGTTTCGTAGGATGCGTATCCCAGCAAAACGATAGATTCACTAACACTTAAGAGTTTATTTATACTTTCATCAAGTCACTAGTGTAAATATTTTAAATTGAAGATCGAATTCATCATTGTATTCATATAGGGTCAAGGAGTGTAGCTATAAAAAATCATCAAAATCGGAGTTAAAATAACCGTTAAATCGTGATTTTTCGTTTATAACTGTCGAAAAATTTTGTCTCATTACTTGATCTCTGAATGTTTGTTTTTTACAATTTTTGGCGTATGCGATCTCGAAGCATATATAAACCAATTTGACAATTGGATCGTTGAAATTAGTTTCGTAGGATGCGTATACCATCAAAACGATAAATTCACTAACACTTAAAGAGTTTATTAATACTTTCATCAAGTATAACATAAGATTTTGTGGTATCCACTAGTGTAAATATTTTAAATTGAAGATCGAATTCATTCATTATATTCATATAGGGTCAAGGAGTGTAGCTGTAAAAAATCATCAAAATCAGAGTTAAAATAATCGTTAAATGGTAATTTTTCGTTTATAACCGTCAAAAAGTTTTGTCTCATTACTTGATCTCTTAATGTTTGTTTTTTTTCAATGTTTAGCGTATGCAATCTCAAAGCATATATAAACAAGTTTGACGGTTGGATTGTTGAAATTAGTTTCGTAGGATGCGTATCCCATCAAAACGATAGATTCACTATCACTTAAGAGTTTATTTATACTTTCATCAAGTATAACATAAGATTTTGTGGTATCCACTAGTGTAAATATTTTAAATTGAAGATCGAATTCGTTCATTGTATTCATATAGGGTCAAGGAGTGTAGCTGTAAAAAATCATCAAAATCAGAGTTAAAATAACCGTTAAATCGTGATTTTTCATTTATAACCGTCGAAAAGTTTTGTCTCGTTTCTTGATCTCTGAATGTTTGTTTTTTGCAATTTTTGGTGTATGCGATCTCGAAGCATATATAAACAAGTTTGACGGTTGGATCATTGAAATTAGTTTTGTAGGATGCGTATCCCATCAAAGCGATAGATTCACTAACGTTTACGAGTTTATTTATAGTTTCATCAAGTATAACATAAGATTTTGTGGTATCCACTAGTGTAAATATTTTAAATTGAAGATCGAATTCATTCATTGTATTTATATAGGGTCAAGGGGTGTAGCTGTAAAAAATCATTAAAACCGGAGTTAAAATAACCGTTAAATTGTGATTTTTCGTTTATAATGGTTGAAAAGTTTTCTCTCATTACTTCATATCTGAATGTTTGTTTTTTGCAATTTTTGGCATATGCGATCTCGAAGAATATATAAACAAGTTTGATGGTTGGATTGTTGAAATTAGTTTCGTAGGATGCGTATCCCATCAAAATGATAGATTTACTAACACTTAAGAGTTTATTCATACTTTCATCATTTTGATGGGATACGCATTGATGTTATACTTAATGAAAGTATGAATAAACTTTAAGTGTTAGTGAATCTTATCGTTTTGATGACTTGGAATAAATATATTAATTACTTATATATTTTAAAATTTTAAGTGTTAATTAGACTATGTTTCAATTAGTATGTGATGATATTTAATAATAAAATTACATTTATTTTTTTTATTACGTATTTTATTCAAGTTAAAATGTTATAAGAGATAAAAAATAAAAAAATAAAAAAAAAGCTGGTTGTTTTTTTCTTTGGGTTAAATATTAGGCGGGAAATGGATGGATATAGGCTGCAAAATTTCCCAAACATTAGGCGGGAAATAAATTATTATAATTTTTTTATGTTTTTGGTATTTTTAAATTACTTGATATTTTTATTTTTAATGTGTTTTATGGTTTTTAATCTCAATCTTTCCCTATAATATACTATAAAAATAAATAAATAAATAAAACTTAAAATTTTAAAAATATATAGAATAATAATTAATAAACAATATATACATATTCATTATATCTATTGCATTTTATAGTAAGTTTTTTTTAGTAGTTTAAAAAATTAAAATCATCAAAATAACATTTTTCTTATCGTGTCGAAACAGGTTACCCACGTGTCACTCTCGTGTAAACCTGTTAAGAATCCGTTATTAATGAGTTATTATCGTGTAACCTGACACTGACCCGATTAGTTATCGTGTTGACCCGAAACCCGTTATTTTTGTGTCATTTACGTATCGTGTAATAAATTATTAGGTCTATTTCTCATTCTCTAGAAAATGTCATGAAAAATTATTTTCCATGAATTCATTTCCGCATATCAAAAGCACCCTTAAAGGCAATTCTTCGTTAGTGGGACCAATTATGACTGGAAACTAATAAATACGTAACTAAATATTTTGTATGTTGGAGAGTTTTTTCTGTGTACTTTGGAACAATGTCATAGTACAATTAGACTCAAAGTATAGCAGGTGTAATAATATATTCTGAAAATGAGACATATCAATCATTTTACGTTCATTCATATTATAACACGTGAAAAAATATATATCATGTAGCGAGTATTTTAGATACACACAAAAATTCTTAGATGAGTCAATTACAATCACCCGAATGTATTACAACTTGAGCTAGAGTTGATGTACAAATATCTAACTTTAAGTTTTTAGAATTTTATTTTAATGTTAGTCGCGAGCATCTAATGGGAAAGAAATAATTCAAATTAAGTTTTGTCATACTTCTTAAAAGAGTACCAACTGCCAAGCCAATGCAAAGTCAATCTATAATATGTAATGTCGTCTAGTTTCAAGGACACAGCTACGGAATCCTTATTTGTCTCTCGACATTGGTTCACGCAGCCACTATACTTTATATTCAACTAGATTCTCAACCTTTTTTCAGTTATCTAGACAGGATGCCTAATCCAACAATATTAAGGTTTCACTAAAATAAAATAAAAACGACTGCAAATAATTGACTACATTCATATATAACATGTTGCATTATTCTACGTATTTATTATTAATTAATTATTCCATGGACGCGACCGCAAATAGAAAGAACCACCTCTAAATCAGCAGAAGATCATATAGGGAACACTATTGTCAATGAAATAAAAATATGTGCACATTTTTATCTATGTATCCTTATTTTATTGTGACAATATATCATATGATAGTGTACTAGTATCATGTAAGTTGTTCTCATGATTTAGCCTTCATTTGTTGACAGCACGTACCCTTTTTTTTTTTCTTATTCCCCTCTCTCTCAATCTCTCTCTTGTAGTTGAAGCTATATATATGAAGAAACATCTTCTCAATCAACAGACACCAAGTTCATTTCTCTCTCTCTCTCTCTCTCTCTCTCTCTCTCTCTCTCTCTCTCTAAGCTGTTATTTGCATAAGGAACAATATGGTATACTATAAGAGATACCAGCAAAGGAAAAAAGGGGAAGAGGATGAAGAGTGTCAGAGCATTCTAATGGAATTTTCAAACTCTGGTTTCTACAAAAGAACAAGGCCCAAGCTCCTCACTTTCGTCTTCCTCTCTCTTCTTTCTTGCAGCTTCATATTAGCCCCTCATCTTTTCTACCCTAACACCACTTTCTCTCTATTACGTAAGTTTTTCTCTTTTCTCTCCCATTCTGATGTTTTCTTTTGCATCTTTAAGTTTTTCTCGTATGCTGAGATTATTAGTACCTCATATGTAAACCCTAGCTTATATAGTACCCCAATTGGGTCTCCTCATTTATATGCAATTGATTTTGAGTTGGGTGTTCTGACTCTTTATGGTATCAGAACCAAGCTATTCACGTGTCAATCCCAATAATTTATTAGAAGAGCGCTTTCACATGGCCTAATCCCCCCTCTTTCCGTCTTCAAGTACCCTTTTAAGATATAGCCATAGAAAAAGATTTGATTTCCAGGTTGCCTTTGAAAACTTCTGCAGTTTTTCTGAGAGTTATCTCACATAGGGAAAGTAATAGATAGACTCTATATCTATTGCTACTTGATTTTAAGTTGAATCCTCTAGTTTTTATTTTCCACTATATATAAATATGCACCCTTTGGTTTTGTAGGCCTTGGTGCTCATGATATGGTTGTATACGCTCCCTTGGGTTCTTCAATCGCCAACGGTACGTAGAGCTCTCTGCTTCTCAATGGCTTCTATTAGGATCGATTGTTTGTGTTTTTAATTTGTTAACAAATACCTTGCAAAGTTTTATTAATTAAACAGTATTACTATCTGTAATATGTAGTGCACTGCTAAAGGGTTGATTTTTTATTGCTAAGTAACAATAATACTCGAGTTGATACTGAAAAACAGATAAAATAACGAGTGTTATTGCTAATTACTAATAGCAACTCCTAATAAAATAACATAAAAATATAATATGAAACAATATTGATAAAATTTAAATTCTCTGCTTTTTAATCTGCTATCTCTCTCTTTCCTTGTAATTTTTATTGTAAGGGTGGAACTCATACAGGGTGAATGGTCAATTCGATCCCAAACCCTACATTCTAATTATTATAATTAGTTTAGTCAATTTATAGTTAATTCAGCTCCAGTTGAACCGCCACAAGTTTATATTATCCAGTTGCTCCATTGATCATCAGGTTGAAGTCAAATGAATGGAGCCTGCAAGTTGAGCATGCCAGTTGAACCCGCAGCCAGTTAAAAAACGGTGTTCACCTCATAAAATATGTAATCTCTACTAATTAATAAAACACTTATTGTCAACAAAAATCCTATGAAATTACTAGTTTAATCTTCTAGTTAAACCATAACATTTAAGAAATATAGGGCAAAAATGTAATTTCACACAACCAAATTTTGCTCTTTTTTTTTTCAAACTCTCACTTATATGTGATCCTAACATATCTCTAATTATAAAAAAATAAAAATAAAAAAAATAAAAAGTAAAAAAAAAAACTTCCCACTCCCACATTCTCTATCACTCCCTTCCTCTATCTCCTATTTCAAAAACAAAAATAAAAAATTTTCTCACACACTTTGTGTTTGCCCATATACTAGTATTATGTAAAGTAAATGAAAAAAAAAAAAAGGAGGAGGATTCTCTACCCTCCTAATTTCTCTACCCTTCCATGCCCTCCTATTTGAACGGTCACGCTTAAGCCACGTCAACATCTTATATTGATTTTTTTTATAAAGATAATAAAACAAAAACAACGTGTGAGATGAGAGAATGAGAATAGGAAGGTAGAGAATCATCTTCAAAAAAAAAATAATAATAATAATGACATTGGATTTATAAAAAAAAAAAAGATATCCAGCCATCAATATTGTGTACAAATAGAATCACTCTTAAAATTTAATTCATGCATTTCTATGGATTCATACTCTAAATTAGATTTTAGCATCATGATTTATAATATTAGTTTTGTAAATAAATTGACTTGAAATTAGGTGTGCTTTTAGGTTATGGGGTTGATTATATCAGGTTTTAACAAAGTTAGTTTGTGCATGGTTGATTATTTTAGAATGAGTGGTTTCATGGTGGTTTGGTTTTAGGGTTTACGAATGTTTTTTTCTTTGAGTTGTGGTAGACCTTCTAACTTAGGATTTGCTTGGGTCTCGAGTTTGGGCGGAGCACAAAATTCGGGGCTAAATCCTAAAGACTCGTTTGGTAGGCTGATTAGGATAAGTTGTGACCAATTAAAATGGACTTAAGTCCAGTTTCTTGTTTGTTGTATCAAAATATGAGATTAACATGACTGTATATGATTGATTATGAATCCACAATACAAATTTTGTCTTACAAGTCTTTGCTAATCCAATTTTATTCCTATGCCCAATCTCATCCAGTCCATCAAACAAGTCCTAAGTCATAAGCAATTATATTGATACAAAATATTTTAAAGTTGAAAATGATAGTAGAAAATAATTTAAAAATGAGTAAAACTAATAATCATACTACAGCTCAATAATTTTTTTAATTATGATAAAATAAAAACTACAACAAAGAGAGTTTTGGTTTACAGAATTACTGAACAGAAACTACAATGCATTGTTTAATCCAGACTGACCTATCCCAAAATATCAAAAATATGAGAAAGTAATTGCCATTTGTAATGACACTAATTAGTATGTAAAACTTGCTTGACTTGGGTGTATTAGTGTACTTGCTTATTTTCTCACGTGACTCTTCTACCTTTTCCTCTATCTGCAATTACTTTAAGTAACTATATATGTTGCGGGTGCAGGAACTATACTTTGTGATAGGAGCAATTTTCGATCAGATGTTTGTATCCTGAAAGGAAATGTAAGAACACACTCCGGATCCTCTTCCATCTTTGTCTACAGGTCTAGAGATAAAAGTAATTTCACATTCTATCTTTCGAGCATCGTCGAGGAAAATGAAGAGGAAAACGGGGAATGGCTTCAACACGAAAAGATCAAACCGTATACTCGGAAATGGGAACCAAGTACCATGGCCACCGTCACTGAATTAGACCTCATTGCAAAGAAAGACGATACTCTAGGGATGCAACATCAGTGTGACGTCCAACATGATGTTCCGGCAGTGTTTTTCTCAACGGCTGGCTATACTGGCAATGCTTATCATGAGTTCAACGACGGGATTATACCACTGTACATTACTTCTCAAGAACTGAGAAAGAAGGTTGTGTTTGTCATTCTTGATTTTCATGACTGGTGGCTTATGAAGTACGGAGACATTCTTTCACAACTCTCGGACTATCCAGTAATAGATTACAGTGCAGATACGAGAACTCATTGCTTTCCTGAAGCCATTGTCGGTTTGAGAATTCACGACGAGCTCACTGTGGATCCTTCGCTGATGGAGGGACATAGGAGCATTTTCGACTTTCAATATCTTCTAGACAGGGCGTACAGGCCTCGAATTACAGGTCTAATTAACGAACAAGAAGCAGAAGAGAAACTTTCTGTTTCTGTGTCTCCTGCATCGGAAGGATCCATAAAAATCAAGAAAAAACTCCATGAAGCACATCAATTAGAGAGGCCTAAACTGGTGATCGTGTCTAGAAACGGATCAAGAGCAATAACCAATGAGGACTTGTTGGTGGAAATGGCTGAGAAAATTGGGTTTGAAGTTGAAGTTCTGACACCTGATTCGAGGACCGAATTGGCAAAGATTTATTGGGTTCTTAATTCGAGTGATGTCGTGATAGGGGTTCACGGTGCCGCCATGACACATTTTCTGTTCATGAGACCTGGCTCTGTGTTGATCCAAGTGATTCCTCTTGGAACTAGTTGGGCAGCAGAGGCATACTTTGGGGAACCTGCAAGAAAGCTTGATTTAAATTACATCGGCTACAAAATTCTTCCCACAGAGAGCTCGTTGTACGACAAGTATGGTAAAGATGATCCTGTTCTTAAAAATCCAGCTAGTGTAACCAAAAAAGGTTGGCAACACACAAAGGAGATTTACCTTGAAGGTCAAACTGTGAGACTACACCTCACAAGATTTAAGAAGCAGTTGCTTGGTGCTTATGACTACACCACTGAAAGAATGACTGAGCATTTCGAACAACAATAAACTAGCGTCAATCATTTTGTAAGTTATAGATTCATACATATGTGGTAAAAATTGGTGAACATGTATAACGTCGAGACATTAAGGATTGAAGAAGGTACCTTAAAAAAGTTTGTATATACCATGAAGTTTGAGGCAACTCTTTATTCGTGTGAATAAATATTTCTTCTGACTTTGTTATTTATTTATACTGTATTTAAGAGAACCCCCAGCTCGTCAAGGGCTGCAAGGCAATTTCCTCTCCACTGCTCACTGGTGTGTAAGGCCTCACTATATGATCGATAAATACTATGTTTCCTCCATATCCCCCGAACGTCCCTCCCTCCATCAGATGATGACCTCTTAGGGAATAATATTTGGCTATTCACTCATGAGTAGGAACTCTTACTCAAAATTCTTCGTGTTCAAAGTACAAAGCATTGTGCTTATGATTAGGACCGTTTGTATTATGAATCGCTTCGTAAAGAATCGCTTCGTAAAGATCATCTCTACAAAAAATTAATTAAAATTTAGGTAGATTAGTCAGTCTATTGTAAAAAATACAAAGACGGGTCTGTAATGGTAGAAGAGCCAGAAATCTAGACAAGGAGGCGCCTTTAAGCCATACAAAAGAAATTAGACAAAATAATTGCCGCAAATGAAGCAACTCAACACTTGCAGGCCCAAGACCAGCGCGAGCCTAACGCACTCCAAGCCCAACGTGAGCCCAATGCACCCTCGGCCCAAGGCCAAGCAAGCCAGACTGCATCGCGCCCACGTGCCCTGCACGTGGCTTGGCCTGTTTCCACAGCCCAACCCACTCTCGCTGTCACCACGGCTCTCAGCCGTGCCAATCTTACCTTGCTGTTCCTCACTAAGCCAACTTTCCCTCCACAGCTCCCAACTAAGCCTCAAAAAAGCACATGAGGAAACATCTAAGGATAACGCAATACTAAAAGAACGTCTGGGAACAGCTCATTGCGTTCCTCACTTACACCCCTATGCGGGTCCCACAAGCAGTTTAAAGTCTCAAGCAGATCGTCAACAAGACATCACAGGCTGAAGATTATTTCAATTGTTCAGCAGTCCATCTCTCCTCAACTGCACTCACAATAACGACTTCCATGCTCTCCAGTACGAGAGGGTAAACTAATTCCCTGACACCCATTTAAGTAAGCTTTCTAATGCAAGAGGGTAAACTAATTGCTCTCCAGTGTGAGAGGCTAAACTAATTCCCCGACATCTATCTGGGTACACTCTCCAGTGCGAAAGGATAAACCAACTCTCCAAAACCCATCTGGGTCTATTCTTCAACGGAATAGGGCAAACTGCCCATAAATTTCCACACAACTACTCATTTTGATGTGATTAGTTAATGATTTTCATATTCCACATATCTTTATCATGTTGTGATACAGGCCACGCAGCTCAAATGATCGAATACTCGAAGACCAGCTAAGTAGCAAATGGTCAGGGGCAGCAACTGACGAAGAACTCAACAGCACGATGCTAAGAAGCTAAACTCATGACCATAGTGACTACATGGGATAGTTAGCTTTTTTTTCGAAGCAACGGGCCCAACCGACAGTTTTATGGCTAAAAGTTTTGCAAAACGCTTCAAGCAAGCAAAGTTTCAAGAAAAGCGAATGATAAACTTATAAGCGTGAAGAAAGCAGTTTATTAAATTTCTAGCAAATTGATAAACTTATAAGAAGGCGCCAAAATCCGACATAAACTAAATAGAGCAGACTACTTATTAAGCAGCTTGGATGACCTTGGGCTCTCCAGCAGCCATCCTGCCCTCAACAGCTACTTCGCACTCTTCGACATTTCATCTTCAGGAGTTCTGATCTTGGCATCTCTATCCTCGATTGCTCCATCTATGGTAGCTAAGAAATCAAACTTAAGCAATTTCCTCCTTCTTGGCAAGTAACACAGACGTGGCAGCAGTAGAAGAAACATGTTTTGACCCCACTTTTCCAAGTGACAAACTTTCCTTCCCTACTTTTCGTAATGGCGAGTCTTTAAAAAGCCGATCCAGACTTAGCTACAATTGGATACTTCACTCCATCTCCTGACCCAGACCTAGAAACAACTCAATGTCAAGCTTTCCAGAGGCAGCCGAAGGATTTCTTCTCAACTGAAAATGCAGTAAGCAAGCTAACATACCAACACTGCACCCCAACGCCTTAAGACGAAGCCTCAGCCGTACAGTTTCTTTTGAAGCAGCCAAGCCAAGCAGCCCAAATCGTGTCCCATGCCTCGCTACTTCCTCGGCCCATGCGGAGCCTGCCCTTGGCTCCAATCATACCAAGCAGCAGAAGTTGTGGCACTTGCCGCACCACTTCCTCGCCCCATGCCGAGCCAACTGTTGGCCCTTACCAGCCGACGTACTGCACCACCCGATGGTTGCCCCATAGCATCACTACCCAAGAAAAAGACAAAGAAAATTAAGTTTTTTCTTACCGTGGTGCGGGGCGAAAAAGACAAAGAAATTATTGGAAGATAGTTCTTTACACGGGTAGGCGAAAGAGAATGCTAGGGGAGGGGGAACATATGTTCTCTAACGTTTTCTCTTTCTTGTAAGGATAAATAATTACCCTTCGAAGTTGACTTAATCCCCTACTTAAGGTAGGCTTAAATAGGCTTTGGTGGCAATTTATTTTCCTTTCCTAGAAGAATCTCATTCCAAGTCAAAGTAGGAGTCTGCATCAAATGAGGAAACGATCTTATGTTTCCCTAAGCAGTTGGAGATCTATACACCTACTGCCCTTTCTTGTGAGCAACCCAACAAGTGTGGAGGCACTCGTGGAGCCAAAAATAATTCAAAAAATTATGGAGGCGATAGGTGCACTTTTGGTTTAAAATATGAGATTACCCTCAAGGCATACTAGAATTCCCACGAGCATGCAACGGACAATAAATCAAGGACAAGTCAAAGGTGATCAATATGGAATATTTCATATTCCTCTTATCACTCCTCATCAATCCCTTATTGATTTTACTCAAAAGGTAACTCCCAATACTTCCTATTTAATTTAGGAATAGTTACCATGTTAATTGTAAGATATCATTTCACATAATATCTTGCAATTATTCACCTAATACACCATATGTGGCCGATTTCTCTCTACCAAAAGGGTCAGCCACACTCCTATAAATACCCCTCTCATCCCACTAAAATACTAAGTCATTTGCTACCCACAAACTCCTAAATACATTATTTTCATAATTCTAACTTTGGCATTGGAGATTCTTCAGTCAAAGCCCCCCATTCATCATGGGCGCGTGAGGCTTTTGGCCTTAATTGAGGGTGTTATTATTTTGCAGATGCATTTTTGTTAAAGGAGGAGATAGCGGAAATTTGCATCCACATTAGTTTTTTATAGAAAGGAAATTAGAACAATAAAAAAGGGAGCTTGGTTATATGGTTAAAAAGAAGATAAAAATCTGAATGATGTGGCATACGCCAGCAAGTCTCGACCCCAGGAACATTTGGAATAAAAAACCCATTAACCAATGAGCCACATGCTCATTATTGTAAAAGCTTGTAGATAATAAATATAAAAGGATAAATTCCAGGATAGGCCCCAGCTTATGCTAACCTCTATATGGCTCTGTCACTAGTCCATAATGCTTTTAACAATGTTGTTCAACTTTTTTTATACAATTTGATGACTAAATGACCTTAGTTTTAATTGATTTTTTTTTTTGCAGATGTAACCTTTATATAGTGATTTATAATATGAACAGTTTTTATCATAAACACAGAGTTCTATAAATGGGCGACAAACAATTTTGAGTAGGAACTTCTACTCATCCGTTGAGTAGCCAAGTCCTGATGACCCAAATTCAAAAGTACTACTTCCAAAAAATTCTGCAAGTATCCCCATAAACAAAAGCTTTTTCTTATACTTTTTTTCTAATTTATTTTTCTAAGTATGCATTATTGTTTTGAGAGTAACCAAATATGCATATAGAATTAACATGTGACAAAAGTACCAGAAAGAGAGATAACATGCCTCATAGGCCTCTGAGATCTTGAATTTGGCTTCTACCTCTTTCTCGTTAGGAGGATTTTAGTCACTAGTCAAGGTGTCATTTCATGGTCAGCCTCCTATATGCCTTCTTTAGATTGTCTTCCATAACATTTTTGTTTACCTTCAATACTTCATAATAATCCACCACATCTTCTTGAAATACTATTATTATAAATTTATTAAAGAATATAATAAAAGTGAAATACTCACCTTGATGCTCACTTTGCTTTAGAGGTATCAACGCATATAGAGCATAATCTAATAAACCAGAGAGGTTTATGAGCGGGAAATGGGGAATGTTGGTGTGCTTACTTCGTATTCAAACAATCCAAACTGTCTACTTTTCAAATTTTGGTTCATAGATAATCCTTGCTAAATATTGGTTAAATCGAAAATGATTGTGTGACCAAGGAAATTGATTACTACTGAAATTTCTTGATGAGAATCAAATAGCTAAATAGTTTCATAATGAATTAATTTTTTCACAAGGATGATCTATAAATCGATTTTTAAAAATTAGACTATTTGGATCAATTCTAAAACGATGAGGAGTGAGCCCACAAGACACTTTCTGGCTTTCAATTATATAAGAGCATAATTGAATAAAACTGCTTGACTTGGGATCGTGGTTGTGTCTAACATATAATAAACTTGATGAAATTGATTACTTTATGATGTGTGGAACACCACAACATGTCGTGCTACTATTGATCATGGTATAGCATGATATTTACACAAGGTTGTTGTAATAGAGCCTTCTTTGAAAACCATAGTTGATAAGTTTTGTGTTTACAATCTATACTTACAAGCTCTTCTGCAAAGGATGATTAGTGACTATAGAAATTCCATGATCCCAAGTCAACCAGTTTGGAGATTCGATTATTTCAAAGCCACGACATTTGTAAACTGGAAATCAAGTGTAGAGCTAAAAGATACACTGAATACAGTGGCGGAGCCAGCATGAGATCATTGATTGTCCTTGAT